TTTGATTCAAGTTTAATTTTTTTAAAGATAAATTTAGATTTATTTTAATTTAATTTGGAGAAGAATTGGTGATAGTGAATATTTTGGTCCTACGAAATAAAATGTGTGTTCAGATTCACCTACTAACAGCTGAAGAGTAAAGGCCTCAATGGGTGAAGGATCTCCCTAGGCACACGTCACTTATTACAAGAAAAGGTAAACAACCTCGGTGACTACCAAACTATGGTCATTAACCATTTTTACCACTAACGTTTAAAAGCGACCAAACAGACCATCCAACTATTTAAATAGTTCAATCCAACCATTGACCGTTATTTTTTAACAGATGTGATGACGTGGCCGTTAATAAAATTATCATAATTATATATTTAGTTTTTAATATTTAAGCATTCTATCAATTTAGTCACTATTTTAATTCATTCAAAAAAAGTTAATCCTCTAATATGAAGGTTACATGTGTCACTATATGATTGGAGGGTAAATTTAATTAATTTTAATATTTTAATTAAATAAAATTTTCAACCAATCAAGTGGTGACATCACTTGTGTAAAGGGAAAAATTTTAGAATAGAAAGTAATGGGTTGTTTGTTTACTTCATAATGATTAAGCGCTGAATGATTCAAATGTTGAATGATTCAGAGGCTTTGTGTGAATTAGCTCTGAATGTGACATGATGTTTGATAATGGCTCTGAATCATTCAGAATGTACTGCTATGCTGAATCGCTCAGCACTGTTTTACTGAATCAGCCAGCACTAAATCATTTAGAGGTGCGAAACAAACGCGTTGAATGCTGAACGGTTCAGCATTCAATGCTGAATGGTTCCATTAAAAGACAATCAAACAGCCTCTAAGTCTAAAGTTTAACATTCAACGCTGAATGATTCTATTAAAGAGGCAAATAAACAGCCCTTAAGTTTAAGGGATTTTAAACCAATAACCCCTTGGCTCAATGGATATGGTTTTGCCACTGGGCTAGGCCATTCAATTGGTTTTTAGTTACACAATATTATATATGTTGTGTTTAATATTATTTCATATATATCAATTTATTAAAACAAATCTAATAAATAAATTATATTTCATATATATATATATATATATAAATAAATAAATATATATATATATATATATAATGCAAGATTTACAAATGGCTCCTGGATCTCTGGTTTTAGCAAAAATGTTGGTTATGCTTCGATTCTTCAAGCCGCACTCTGAGCTATTTATGAAGGCCTCCTCTTAGCTCGAAGACTCGGCATCAGCTGTTTGGAAGTTCAATCCGATTGTTTGCAAGCCGTCACGTTATTACAAGATAGCCATGCAGGGAAGAGCTCAGTTTCTCTTATTCGCTGCATTGCTACATTACGCCGCCAGGACTGGTGCACACGTATCTGCTGGGTTCCTCGATCAGCCAACACTGTGGCTGACGAACTCACAAGAATAGCTCCTCATGCGATTAGCCAGATCGCCCTTTATGCTGAGCCCCCCTCCGGTGTTGAGTAGACTTTACACCTTGATGTAAGAGAAGTTGTCATCGGTAAGGACGGAGCCATAATTAAATATTGGCATAGGCTAAAATATTAGACTATTTAAGAAAAATATATAAACTTATTAGGTATTTAAACTCGAAATTCAGCATGAACCAAACGACCTTAATAATTAAGGGATTCTTGTTATCCTTGAGGTCCCGAGTTCAAGCACGTATGTAGGGGTATGAGCGTTCATTGTTAAATAGTTGACTTAAATTGTTCATTATCTAATATTTAAACTTACAACGATTTAAATTGTAATTAGACAAAAAATTAAAGAGCATAGACGTATCATTATTTAATTTAACCCCTATTTGATTAAATATTTAATAAATTTTTATATTTTTTAAACTTAAATATTTATTTTGCATGAACAAAAATACTATTAAATCAAAATTATATAGAATATATAAATTTTAACAGGAACCGAGGCCCCCTTGAGCCATAAGGGAGCTCCGTCTCTGCCCTCGATGTAGGCATATAAGCTAATAGTTGGGCTCTGTTTCAATTAAAAAATAAAAAATAAAACAGATTTTAATATTTTATTTATTTTTTACGATTACTTTAAAATAATAATATTAAAATTATATTGAAAATAAAATTATATAAAATTATTTAGAGAATCCAAATCACAAAATAAAAATAACTTAACTTAAATATTAAAATAATTTTAAATTAAATTAAATTATTTACATAAAATAAGTTTAATTTTTTAATTTTTTAAATTAAATTATTTTTATTTTGTGATTTGGATTCTCTAAATAATTTTAATATAATTTTATTTTTCAATATAATTTATATATTATTAAATAATTGTAAAAAATTAAATAAAATATTAAACTTTGTTTTATTTTAAATCTTACATTAACTATAATTTAATATATGAAATATAATTTATTTATTAGATTTATTTTAATAAATTGATATATATATATATATATATATATATATGAAATAATATTAAACACAACATATACAACATAATGTAACTAAAAACCAATTGAATGACCTAGTTTAGTGACAAAGTCATATCCATTGAGCCAAGGGATCACTGGTTTGAAACCCCTTAATCTCACTTTCTATTCTAAAATCTTTTCTCTTTACACATGTGAAAGTGTCACCACCTGATTGGTTAAAAAAATAATTTCATTAAAATATTAAAATTAATTAAATTCATTCTTCAATTATATAGTGACGTGTGGTACTTCCGGATTGGAGGATTAAATTTTTTTGAATGAATTAAAATAGTGACTAAATTGATAGAATACGTAAATATTAATGAGTAAATATATAATTAGGACAATTTTATTAATGGTTACGTCATCACCTATGTTAAAAATTAACGGGCGGTGGTTATATTGAATCATTTAAATAGTTTGGTGATTTGTTTGATCGCTTTTAAACGATGGTGGTCAAAATAGTTAATAACCATAGTTTGGTGGTCACCCGTATAGTTTATTCCAAAAAAACCTCAACTTTTATCCTTAAAGAGTAATCCTCATAAGATTAATAAGTTTATATACCTAAAGTCAATCCAATTAAATATTTGAGCAAATGTAATAATTATAGCTCACAAGTATTTTTTACAAGAGGAATATAAGATTTCTAAACTCGATATTAATTTTTTATGTTTATCCTCTAATTATTTTTTAATTGTTTGGGGCCGTTGAAAATTAATTATAATTGTTAAAAATATTAAAATATAATATTAAACGCTCATTTTGTTTTCTCATATTTTCTTAGGTCATGGTTTCTAGAATTACTAAAAGCACTCGTCTTCTTTTCCTTAGAGTTCATCTTCCACTCTCCTCTAGATAGAATTAAGATTAGATTTAGAATTTATGAAGAAGAATAAGAAGAAGAAGAAAAACCATCCCTCGGAAGCACTAGATTCCTTAAGCAAGACTAGGAATTTGAATCTTGATATTTGCGAATGAAAGAAACTGGGTTGATAGGACGGCTCTCATAATACACCTCTACAAGATCTGATCCAGAATAATCAATCAATAATTCGGATATCGTTGATTAAACAAAAAAATGAAATTTTGCTGGAGAGCAACCAAAAAAATTGAAAATTTTCATCCTCTATAAAGGTGACTTTTTTTAAAACCCAAAATTTCTAATTTCATTTAAACATATAATAGAAGGATCGAAATATGGTAAATTAAAATATTCAACCAAAGTTTTGAGTTGTGAATTTATCAAGTGGTCTTAATAGTAAAAAGTAAGGATAATCTTCTTAGGCTTGAGTTTGAGTAGCGACATCAGTAAGATGTGTATGCGTTGTTAATGCTAGTTTGGGTATGAGAAAAAGAAATGGATTTTGATGAAGAAAACAGCCTTGAGCAAAAAGCAATTGATATCCCAACTTGTAGTGTAATCACCCAATGCCATTTCCACTCCTTTATCATCTCAGGAAATTGTTGCAGGAACCATTTTTCTAACTGCAAAAAAAAAAAATATGAAAAACAGTTCCTTCAAACATTCTAGATAGTGGTCAATTGCATGGGACATGATTGATTCTCGCGTGCTTTCCTTGTTCATACGTTCATCTCTGTGTGTTATTAAAAACAAACAAACCCTCAAAACACTCGGAATATAATGAACTTGCTAATACGTTGTAAATCTTTGCGTCATCAATCACTTTTCAATTAAAGAGTTGCTTTGGATGGACAGCCAGTTTTTGGGAATAATTTTGAGAATAGGGCAAGCTATCGTTGAAGAAGAGACAAGGGTCAAATTGAGACAAGTTTGGTGGTAAAAAACAGGTAATGAAACAAAGGATATGCAGGTTTCCAGGTCAATAACTAAAGCAGGAATGATGAATGGTTACAAAATATGATGTTCAATTATGAACCCTTTCATCAATAGTGCTTCCAAATTTGATCCCATTTTATTAAATTATATTATTCATTTATAAAAAATGTGATGCCGGCTTTAACTTTGTCTGCTACGTTGTCTTGTTTTGTTAGGTTAAATCCTGCTTTTTAATCCTTTTACTATATAGTCACTATATTTTAGTTCACATAAAAACAACCCTTCCAGCTAATGACATTATAAAAATAAAGGGACTTCATGCAAACTCAATTTTATCACACTAGTGTAGTGAGTGGAAAAAATATTTTCCTATCTGTTGAGACCGAACTCGTATATAATATAACAGGTTGAGATGGCCGAGTTGGTCTAAGGCGCCAGGTTAAGGTTCATTTTGAATTGAATCCTTGCATGTTATCGAGTATTTTACATCTATAAATGAAGTTGAAATCCAATCCATTACTATTTTATCGATCACTTTCCGGTATGTTAACCATAATCACGTGTAAAGCCCGTTATAAAATGTATAAATCATACTCATAAATATAATGGAAGATAGCTTGAGCCTTACATATGCAAGTCCCACGTTAAGAATCTGCGAGTCCCGTTTGGCTATTTGATACAGACATGTACAACTACTACTGTAAACAATCAAACGAATGCAAGTAAATAATATTATTCCCAAGTCCTTCCAGTTGACATCATAATTCTTGTAAACAACAAAAGAGTATGCATATGCATATGCATGCATATACGTCGGCGCCCATGAGCACCGTAAATGTGACTAGGAGAGACAATGAAGCTTCATCCAGTAACATCATACACCCTCGAGCTTTTGCTGACTGTGAAAACCTCTCTCACGAAGAAGCCGACCATGACCTCATTATTGAAAAGAATCCAACAAAGGACAGTATGCGAGTGATGCTGAAGCATGTAAAAGTGCGTACCTTAGACTATCTAACAGCAATAGTCCCTCCATCTTATATAGTGTCAAAGAATGCTGTATTATGTGCAAGAAGACGACTTCGTAGGAGTTCCAACCATTCAGGTGAGCAATGGCATGTCAGCGTGCCCCGTTTGAGGGGTAGAAGGCTTATTAATCAGCGACTTCAACCGTTCCATGATACTGGAAAATGATGGACGCTTCCAAGGCTCACTGCATTAAAAATCGACAATGACGAAAGAGGGAAATTTGCTTAGCAAGCTCCATATCACAAAAGCTTTTTAGACTTACTTGGCCCAGCAATCCTCGATTATGGCAGCCACTTGAGGATTCAAATCCCGAGGAATATCAAGCCTTTTGCCCTTAAAACCAACAGCTGCTACTACCTGCATAACAATTTAGATCGGACTATGTTTGTTAGAAATTAAACTCCAGAAGATTGTTATTGCCTGACAATATGTAAGATTACGAAATAATAAAAACCCAAAGTTCAAAGGGAAATTAGAGGAAAAAATGCAGATATATGAATAGTTCATGTTCATTGAGGGGTATAAGTTGGTCAACAAAGTGCAAAACTTAGCTACTCCATTGCAAGTTGCAAAAAATTCAAAGAGTTTCCCTTCACACTTTTTCCAGACATTCGCAAAAATTAAGTTAAATAGACAAACTTAAAACTTTATTCAAATATAGCATGCATACATTCATCATAAAGTGATAAAGATACCCAGAGTTCATTTTTCATATGACATTCTAGTATGTGGTTTATAGCTCAGGTCATACAACACACTCCTTCAAAATGCTTATCGAAAGTGGTTTGTTCCTCTTCAAGGGAATTTTTAGTTGCCATCAGATCATTATTTCCTTTAATGAAAGATATAATATGGCCTTGTCAAGCACATTGAAGCTAAATCATCAGAAAAATGAGACATTAAATGGGGCAAAATCTATAATACATTAACAAACCTGTGCTGGATTTAAGTTGCCCCATGGTAGTTGCAGTGTTGCAAGCTCCCACAAAATTATACCAAAACTGTACACATCAGACTTCTCGTTTGATGGCTCATCACGGAGAACTTCTGGAGCCATCCACTCGGGCTAATATAGAAAAAAAAATGTATTCGTTAATATTTTGCAGCATAAACAGTGATCTATGGTAACTAAAATAGAAACACCAAAAATATAGTTAAAAATTAGTTTAACATACAGTTCCAGCTGCTGATTTGGATGAAAGAAACGTGTTTGCCTTCAAACGAGAAAGCCCAAAATCACAAACCTGAATTTACAGACCAGGAAAGTGGGGAAGAATTCTGTTAAGTAACTTTTGAGAGAAATTTGCATTAAGAGGGAAACGGATATAATTACAAAGAAAGTAACAAATTAAAGCAGACGATGTTCGCTCCAACTATATACAATGCTGGATATGATAACAAAAACTAGTAGAGAACCACTTCCAATAGTAAAAACCTGTGGGCCTGTGGCTATATTTGATAAATGCAAGACATTACAAGGCTTGAGAAGTATTTAGATTTCATTATCATTAGAACAAAGAATCTTTTCTTCATTCATCATTTCATCTTTACCATCGCCGTCCGACGTCCGCCGACAGCCGTCCGCCGTCCGCCGCCCGCCGCCCACCGCCACACTGTCATCCGTTGGCCGACATTTTTCCTCTGGAAGATCGCCTCCTCACTCTGATTCCATTTTCCAGATCAGATTTACGAGAAAGTCATTCAATCGGCGCAGATCTAAACGCCATTTTTCATCGATTTACGCCGGTGTCCGTCTCCAGTTCACCCTCATTCCACTAGGCTCGTCGCTCTCTTGCGAACTAATCCCTTCTTCTAGCGTCCGGACTTCGCTGTCATCATCTGAGATTCTTTCTTTGTCCGGTTAGTCAAAAACAGAACAGTCTTGGTTCTGTCAAGGTGTTCTCCCGTTCTAAACCATCTCTGATGGTTAGTTGAAGGTCTTCTGCGCAGCTTCTTCTTTCCTCAGACTTAAGTTTTTCCTGTTGGAATCTCTTCATCACCTCCACCCTTCTTTTCTTCGCCGGCAGTCACAGCATTCCATCGCCGAGCTTGCAGGAATTTCGTCTGGTCACTGGATTTTTTACTTCAACAGTTTCATCACATGTCGGGTGCTGGAATCCTCCCTTCTCTTCAGCAGAGACCTCCGGTCCAAGTTCCTCCACCCTCTGCAGCCGCGCATTCTCTGCCATCTCACCCTTCTCATCATGATGGAGTTCACACTATTTTCATTATGGGTCTGCCTGAAGATGTCAAAGAGAGAGAGCTGCAGAATTTTCTGAGATGGCTTCCATGTTTTGAAGATTCGCATTTGAGCTTCAGGGAGATAAGCCCAAGGGTTTCGCTCTTCTCAACTGTTAAATTTGCAGTTGCTGCCAAGGATTCCCTTCAGAAAATGGTTTTTGATGCTAAGTTGAAGTCCCTATTGCACATCGAGATGGCAAGGAAGAATCTTGTTGTTAAAAGAGTAGTAGTTACAGATTCTGATGCTTTGGACAAGTATGGAGGTTCTCATGTTCCTCCAGTACTGCCATTGCCAAATCCAGCTTCTGTAGCATCTCCTAGTATTCATGTGTCTGTTATAGCGGTGTGTTGCGATGACAAGTCTGCAGTAAATGGTGTACACGAGGGATCCAGGGAGTCAATCACAAAGGGGTGCAGAGTTGACAAGTCTGGATGCTTCACATTATTTGTTGAAAATTTACCAGAGAAGATCCATTGGGAGAGGTTTGAATCTTTATTTTGCTCTCATGGTCGGGTACTTGATGCTTTTATCCCAAATAAAAGGAATTCAAAAGGAGTTCGCTTTGGTTTTATTCGATTCGAATATCGAAGAAGCAAGGAGAGCGATCTCAAAAATGAATGGCTCTCGTATCGACGACAGCAAAATTGGTGTTTCTTTCGCTAAATTCAAACCTCGACATTCCTATTAGAGAAAGTCCTCGACAGGTGTTCTTCGCAAGTCCGGGATGGAAGATGTTTCGAGGAAGAATCATTTTAAAGTTGAAGGTGTTATGGATGAAGAAAAACTTCAGGTGTTGAGCAATTGTCTAGTGGGGTGGTGCAAGGACTTTGTCAAAATTGGTCATCTCGCCAAACAAATGCAAGCGAAGGGCCTCACTGGCTTCACCTTAATGAGAGCTGCTGGTAATGCGATTTTAATGATTTTCGAAGACAATGCTTCTTTGAGAAGTGTGAACAACGATAAATCAAAGATTCTCGCAGAGTGGTTCTCCTTAGTCGAAGCTTGGTCAGAGAGTTTGGTAATGGAGTGTCGTCGAGTATGGTTAGTTTGCGAGGGTGTTCCTTTTCACGTATGGAATTGGGATACTTTCAAGAACATTGCTGATAAGTGGGGTTTATTACTAGCTATCGACGAAAGTTGTCAGTCTCCATCATCCTTTGATCGGGCAAAATTTCAAGTCCTCACAAAGGCTGATGCGAGAATTGATGTGATGGTGGAATTGAAGGTTGGTGACAACTTCTTCAAGGTCATGGTGCATGAGATAGAGCCTTCATTCAAACCAAACTCTTGGGCTCCTGAAGAATACGAGTCCCATTAGATCTTGTCTCTTCAATTGTGGTTGTTTTAGTCTATATGGTTGTAGGTGTTGCTTTTAATTTGTATTATGTTCTGTTGCGTTGTTTTATTCCTACTACTGGTGGTGTAATTAGATGTAAGGTGATTATGTTGTGGCTTTGGATTAGGTTATATGAGGTTAAGGTGTATGTTGTAATGGTGTACATCACCATGAGAGGATATTACGTGGTGTCTTTTGTAGCGGGTATTTTATCAATAAAATTTGAGGTACTCTTTTCTTCCTTCCAATGTCCGTTAACATACATTTAGTATGTGAACGAATACGAAGGGAGTTTTTAACGAGACCTCCAACTTCTATAAAAAAAAAAACTATGCTCTTTGAGACACAGCAGCAACATTCTGGAGCTTACCTTCACCGTGTATTTCTTGTCAACCAATAGGTTTGGTGATTTTAAATCTCTATGAACAATAGGGGGATTACGTCTATGAAGATAATTCATTCCCTTTGCCTGTGCACAAAAGAAAAATGATGGTGATTTAGACCATAACATTAACAGAACATTAGAAATTGGAAAACAAAAAACAAAAAGAAAGTAAACCCTTTGAAACCCACCACGTCATAAGCCATACTCAAGCAACGCCTCTCATCCAACACATCTCCCACACCAGGCTTACGCAAAAGCCTTACAAGCTACCCCTGCAAATTAGAGTCAAGGTTTTAATCGCTTAAGAATTCAAACCTCTAAAGCAAAAGAAAGTAAACCCTTTGAAACCCACCACGTCATAAGCCATACTCAAGCAACGCCTCTCATCCAACACATCTCCCACACCAGGCTTACGCAAAAGCCTATACAAGCTACCCCTGCAAATTAGAGTCAAGGTTTTAATCCGCTTAAGAATTCAAACCTCTAAAAGTAGTAATATGAAGTAAACAAAACATCTTTCTCGTCTTCTTTGTTCAACTGATGGAATACAAAACATGGGTATTTCCCTTTTTCCCCCACCCCAAAAATTAATAAATAAAAAAACAAACCTTGATAAGTATTCCAATATTTGGATGCCGTAGGCGTTTCATTATTGCAACCTAACAAAAAATGGAGGTGAAAATACAATCATACCACAAACATTAATGAAAAACTGACGTTTCTTATCTCAGGAACAAAGTTGTTCAAAATGTCAGCCAACTCATACCTCACTCAAAAATTCTTTATAACGCTCACCATGCAAATCCTGCTCCATGAGAATTTTCACGGCAACATCCTGTAATTAAAAAAAGAAGATTATATGGAGAAAGAGGAATCATCAACAGCACGTGTAAAATTTAACCACCACATCATTCATTCCTGCCAGGATTAGTTGCAACCAAAGAATTTTTTTTTATCTGGTTCATAAATTGTGGTGGCAGATAGGTAGTTTAGTCCCCAGTAAGCCCAAGATTTGTCTTATCCGAGAGATGATACATTCTAGATTAGTGTCAACAAGGGGCAACGTGGGATTCTAAACCAAGACTACTAATATCAAGGCAAACAAAGTCAGCAATTGAGTCATAATCTTTGTCAGTTTTAGTTGGTCTAAAACAGAGAAAATCAAGAAAAAAATATTTAATAGGAACTTCAGCTCAAAAGCAGTGATTACTTTTATGTAAAAATTCATCAAAGATGGACCAAACTCCAAAAATAAAATATGATAAAGACATAAAATACAGAAGGTCCATTCTTCCAATGACACAGTAGCAAACAGGTGAGAGAAAGATGTCTACAAATGTAGATAATTGAACTAACAATTTCTTCCCGTGATAACTGAAATAAGTTGCCTGAAACTTATAGAACATTTATATTATACTTTGCCTATATAGTGAACGATGACTGTATATGAATCAAGGTGCATTTCCAGATTTACCATATTCAAAAACCCTTTTCATCTACAGGCATGGCTTAAGAGAAATAGCATGTGACAAACTAGATTGACTGCTGGTTTACAAAGGAAAATTACAGGGTTTGACACTACATTGTCATGCATTAATAGTGTCAAGATCAATATTCAGAACTGAAAGTTAAGCTTTGATGGTCAAATGATGAGAGCTGAAGTAAACTTCAAGCAGTTTAATATTTGGAACCAAAAGAATGCTTTGAAGAAATTGATTCAGAAAGGAGAGAAGATTACCTAGACCTCAAACCTAACTTCAGCAGATACCACCTAAATCGATTGCACATATACTACATTCTAGAAATCTGAAAGTTTTACAAATACCATAACTCCTAAAACCAAATACACATAAAACAACTTCTGCAACTTCAGAAATACTAATACATGTCATTAATGAATCTATCTACATTCATTTGTCAATTATATATATCAATAATTGTTGATATTTTCTCATTCCCAAGGAACATCACAAACAAAATAAGCCCCAGAACCTCCATAAGATGACTAGAAGTTGGCATACAATAAAGCAGTGCTAACAATAAACAAGATGCAGAACAGAAGATATCAAAAATAAAACTTTCATAACATTTAACTTTATCCTTATGACAATACTTCATAAACAGAAGGATTCTTACAGAGCCATTCCATTCGGCCCGATGAACAGTTCCAAAAGAACCTGAAAAGAACCAAGTCCAAACCAAAACATGAATTATGACCAAGAATATGATATCTCAGTAGTCTATTCTGTGAATATAATGTTCTTAAAAACGATGAGAAAATACCAGAACCAATTCTCTCTTTTAAAACAAGATCACTCCATGGAATGTTCAAATCATCAACGTCAAGGGCAAGTTCTCTACTTCTTTGGCCAGGAACAAGTTGATTACCCTTAGCCAAGACTAGATCTGGGATATCTCTATGCCCTAGAGGAGGGATGTGCTTTAAAGGATCTCCAATGATGTTCTTTGAGCTTACTATACACTGTGAATACTGGGAATCTCTATCAGGAGCAGGTGGCTTAGCACTATTACGTAGGGGTAACTGGGAGATATCATTCATATTACTTGAGATCTGCACATGGTTATTTCTGTATGTGCCAATGTTACCAAGTTTCTTCTCTTCATCCATAAGAATACCTGAAATTATGGACAATTATAATTTACTTGCGTACCAGATGAATAACAAAAACAAGTTTTAACCATGCAAAGATAAGACATGAATGAACACCAGGAAAAGCCACCAAATTTATGTCACAAACATCTAATATACTACAGATATAGAAATGGCAGCCTCAACAGTGTTATAAAATGCAATTAACAATACCAAAACCAGGTAATACATACATACACACACACACACATATATACACATATATCTATATTATATCAAAACCAGATTAAAATCTATTTATGAATGCTTGTCCACATAATATTGCGAGGGCCGTTTTCTGGTTTTGCCTTAGTGCTCAAAATAATATGACAACACCTTCAATTGGGTCCAGGATGAAAAAATTTTAGCCACAACTGAAAAGCTAGTGCAAAAAAAACTCAATGGCAAGATTCGACTAAAGACTGAAATCTAAAAGCAGATAAGGTGCATTCAATAAAGCTCTTCATATCGATAGTAACCGAAAATTTACCTGTTGTAGCATCATCAAATACAAGATTAAGTGATTCACAGTCTGAAAAGTACTGTTTGGCCAATGACCTGAAATCAGTGGCAGGTATAGCTGGTTTGAGATGTGGAAAGCGCAATGGGGAAGAAATTGAGATGGAAGAAGGACCATTGAGCAAGGAATCGGGCTCGCATAGGTAACCTGGGTACCCAATTAGATCAACAAGATACTCCCTGAAATCACAAAGACTGTAAGGTAGGACATGTTCATAATAATAATATCCAATAATTCTCAATATCAAATTTGTTTAAGAATCAAATCCAATCTACAAACACTATAAAACCCAAGTATATAGGCTTCAGAAAGCTCATGAAAAGACAAAATCCAACTACACTAGTGAATTAACCCTTCTAGATTTATGTCTAGGATAGACATTCTGCCATAACTTGGAAGGTTATCTATCAGATTGGCTTCATGAGATTATTCTTGTCTATGGAAAACTTTAACCAAGGTAAGACAAGGCGGTTTTTCACAAACCATTGACCAAAATGGGAAGAAAGAAGTCAAAGAACCACAACAAAAACGCACTGCAACCAACCAAATGGAGTAGCAGGTGGAACTGAGCAAAATATAGTTTCAAAAAGAGTTGATCAGTTTCCACACGACAAACAGCAACGTCTTAAAAATGCAGGGTTCCTTTGCCAGCAAAACATTGTAATTTAGAAACAAATCACTAGAGAAAGACAAATTCAGAATTTAAAGGAAATAGGTTGTAAATCAGAAATAAAACAAACATAACCAACACCAGCCAAAACCAAAATATCATGGTGCAGATATAAAATACCTGTCAATCCCAAAGCGAACAAGGCAAGAGGAAGCATCATCTCTTTTGCAATATTTGCATCCTTTTGCAATTCGACATGGCAGATCAATTGTGTCAGCTAACACCTGCATAAGTCGTGTTTGAACCGTGAATGATTCCCCTTCCCTTCAAAGGGGAAAAAACATTTTAACAGGAAACTAGCTCCACAAGTAGTGGAGGCACAAAACGTTAACTATAACTAAAGCAAAAAACCATCCCAAAGCCTCACAGGTGAAATGGGAACACCATAAACTTAGGTCCTTACTTTGAAAAGTAAAGCTCGATGTCTGCAAAGGCCAGCAGACAGGCTACCCATGGGAACCACAACTGAACCTAAGCACTCTTTTAAATCATCACTGCAGTCCCTCCAATATGAAACCAAGTCATCCTCTTCCTTTGTAGATGAACCCCTTCAGTTTGAAATAGAACAATTATTCACCATGGCACAAAAAATTGTATGAATTTTGAAATTTTGTGCATTAATGTTATAGGTAATTCACCCCATGCGGCAGCAGACAAGCTGTGCTAACTCCTCAACAACTTCTTTTGTGGTTATGCAGCTACGAGAAATGTTATAGACTCTATTTTGGAGTTCCTTTATGCCGAGATCACTTCTTCGGTCAACCAGTATCACTTCTAGTGGTGAACCAACCGCACGATCAACAGATCTTAGAGAGTCGATTGATGGAATTCGCCCATGCTCATGCAGATCAGAGCACATAGTCCAGACATATGGATTAACTCCATGAATTAAATAAAACCCATCAGGAACCTTTTCGAAATATGATAAGCAGCCACTCACCTGATGCACATAACATTGAAAAGGCATTATATAATTTATATTCAAATGTTCAATTTTTTATCAACAAAATCCTGAAACTTAACTAAACCCTTTTCACATGACGTGCATTCCAGATGTTGTGCAGCTATATACTCCCATTGTACCCACATTCATGTTCGCTATTAGAAGAGAATAAAGTCACCTCTTGCAAAATTCAGAAAAATAAAAAAGTTCTCACATCAAAAGTTCAGATCGATATAAGACTGAACCAATGGAAAACTACAGTTATGACAAACCAAATTTTCACATCACTACAAAGTATAAGAGCTCGTGCACTAACATCCAGTTTATCTTAGTACTGATCTTTAAAATCATCTAAAAACTAGTTCCATTCACTATCACGATGGTTATATTCACCTAGGCATATTTGTTCAATCTCCTAGTCTTACAAATCATTAAGTAAATTTAAAAAGACAATCGAATGGTGTAATGACAAATGAACAAAAAAAAATCAACAAGAAACATACCCAGAACCGATGGGAAACTATCTCAGCAGAGCTGGAGCTAGTTGTTGCCGAATCACCCGAAACCGGACCCAAAAAATTTGGGTCATCAGCACAGGTAGCTTCCAAAGAAAGTCTCAAAGCTAACGCCAGCTGTAACTGATAACTCTCCTCCGTTTGCTGCGCCCAGCTTTTCCCCGACGACGAACCCCCAATTCTTTTTCTCAAATCCACAAGCCCAGAGCTCCCATCATGACCATAAGCAAACGCATCAATCTCGTTAGCAGCCGTCGTAGAAAGGGTCGGCACATAATAATCTCCCGATAAAGAGCTCTCACCGAAGCTACTCCCGCTTGATTGCCGTTGAAGACCGATCGACGAAGCAAAAGTATTCCCTCCTCCTCCCCCGCCGCCGCCACCGATTCGATTTGCTTGTAGCTGGGCGTGGTTTTGACTCTGACTCTGATCCCAATCAGTTAAACCTCTCTCCAATTTCACTTTGTTCTTGCTACTCGCGGCTTCACTTGAAACCGAATTGTAATACGGAGGCGGAGCTCCCTGTATGGACACCGAGAACTGGTCGTCGGGATACTGGCTAAGTAGAGAGTAATTGGATCTTCTCCCAGGCATTTCCATTGAAGCTCTAAAGTAATTGCCGATCACAGAACCCTAGAAAACCTATGAACCGCCATTGATGAATATCTGAAGCTTTTTTTCCTTCTTTTGTATATATATTTTTCTTTTTCCTTAACTTTTTTCCTCTTTCTATAATTCTATTGTCGGAGAGAAGGAAAAGGTTCCATTTTTATTCGGTGGCGTGATTGTAATATGATTTTTAGTGGATAAATTACGAAAATGGTCATTTATGTTTGAGTTAATTTTTATTTTAACCCCAATGATTAAAAAGTTATCAAACTTTATTAAGGGTAAAATACATCTAGATCACTTAATTATGTGTTACATGCCACATTTTTTTAAAGTTACAAATAGATAATTCAATTAAAATATTATTACACACAGGCTGATAGTCGTTGAAATATGCCTAACATAGTTTGATATAATAATAATAATTTCAACCCCTAAAACTTATATATTTATATTAATTTAATCTTAATTTAAAATAATTTAATAAATTTAATCATTTATATTTAAAACTCTTATTTTTTCAAAAACACAAACAATGATTCAAAGAAAAACATTTTTCCCTTTTATGACAATAGAGCATTAAACGAGGCTTGTGATTTTGTCTTTGTAAACCATTAAGTGAATCCTTCAAATTATTTATCTTTGTAAATCATTAAGTGAATCCTTCAAATTATTTATCTTTGTAAACCATTAAGTGAATCCTTCAAATTATTTATTAATCCAGTATTGATTAAATACGTGCTAAGTGAATCCTCCAAAGTATTTGTAAACCCAATATTGATTAAACACGTGTTAAGTGAATCCTCCAAAGCAGAAGTCAGCCCAATACTGATTAGACACGTGCTAAATGATCCTCTAAAGTATTTATCAACTCAATATTGATTCAACATGTGTTAAGTGAATTTTTAAAGTATTTATCAATCCATTATTGATTAAACACGTGCTAAATAAATCCTCTAACGTATTCGTCAACCTAATACTGATTAAACATGTGCTAAATAATCCTCCAAAGTATTTATCAACTCAATATTGATTCAACACGTGTTAAGTGAATCTTCTAAAGTATTTGTCAACTCATTATTGATTAAACACATGGTAAGTGATCCTCTAAAGTATTTATCAACTCAATACTGATTAAACATGTGCTAAGTGAATCCTCCAAAGTATTTCTCGACCCAATACTAATTGAACACGTACTAAGTGAATCCTCTAAAGTATTTGTCAACCTAATACTAATTAAACATGTGCTAAATAGATCCTATAAAGTATTTGTCAACTAAATACTAATTAAACACATATTAAATAGTTCCTATAAAATATTTGTTAATCCAATACTAATTAAACACATGCTAAGTAGATCATTCAAAGTATTTATCAATTCGATTCTAATTAAATATGTACAGGATCGGCTCTAGAGGAGCACCATAAGCAACCGCTTAGGGCCCCCAATTTTTTGTATTTATATTTAAGACTCTCAATTTTTTATATTTATAATTAGAGCCCTTAATTTTATAATTTCATAAAGTTTTTAGTTTTTTATCTTATTTTTTCATTTCTCTTATTAATTCATCCAATTTTGAATTAAATTTAATCAATTTTTTATATTAATAATTAGGACCCTAATTTTTATAATTTCATAATATGTTTAGTTTTTACCCTCATTTTCTATTTCTTTTATTTATTCATGCATTCAATTTTGAATTAAATTTAATCATTTTTTCTCTTTTTTTAAATCTTACTCTTCAATTTATCAAATCTTCTTTAATTTTTAGTTTCTTCAATCTCAATCTAACAATAAAATAATATAGAATTCTTTTTATTTATTTATTATTCAAAATCAAGTTATGCCTCATATATGTATTTAATTTTTTTGTATTTATTCTCGTGTTGTTGTATTTAAGGCGTTTTCTTAATAAAATAATACAAATAATATACTTTCACAAAATTTAATCATTTTTCTATGACTTATTTATGTAATATTGAATTAATTGTTTAAAATAATGAAATATAATTTCATTTTATAAAGGTATATTTTTTTTGTTTTCTCTCAAGGCCCCGAAAATGTCTGAATATGTGGTTCTATTAAAGGGAAGTTATAAATATAATTATTATCAATATAATGAGTACATATTTGTGTCGACATATGATTGAACCAATGAACACTATATATAATGCCTCAAATCATTGGTTAGTAGTTTCGGGCTAATCCGAAAAGGTTTAAATAAGCCCACTAGATTTATAGAAAATCTTAGACCAAATTAAGAACGGATTCGAGCTTGGGTTAAGCCTAAATTTTAGGAAGAGGGTGTTGTTGATATTTGAATGGAAAAAGAAGGATCAGATGAGCTATTATACCATTTTATAATTCAAAACTTGATTGTTTCAATGAGGGTGATGTAATTTGCTTACTCACCCTCTTCTTTTCCTTATTTTTCTCCTCTTTAGTCCCCTACATTCTCCCTCTCCATTTTCATAACATTTCCTTTCCCAAAGAAAGACTAAAGGTGAAAACATGGTAACCCTTCAAGCCTAGCACGAAATTTTCAAGGTAAGAATCATAATCCCCTCACCTAAAGCTTTCATTCAAGCTCTTAATCTCAAAGTTTGGTCATAATAGCCTTAGGTGGGGGTTGAAAGTAGGCTTTGGATTTTAGGGTTCTTTAGTGATACCAATCTATTTTTAGAGGTTTGAAACCATATTTATAATCTTTTAAAGCCTCTAGATAAATTAGTAACTCATTTTCTCATGTTATATTAATAAAAGAGGTTGAACAAAGCTCTTAAGCCAAGGATAAAGGGAAGTTAGTTCTTGGGTGATTAAAGACATTTTACAGTAGCTAAGAAGATATGGTAACACATTTCTAACCTTATTATACCATTTGTGGACCATTTAGTGCCCTTACTTTGCTTGCATTAGTTCATAAAGCATATGAGCATGACTATGGTGGATTCTAGTTTGAAGTGTTGTTAATCATGCAAAATGACTCTTCACGACCCTTATAAACTTACATAAGACTTAAGCATCACTAAATAGACTCAAAGGGGAAAATGGGTAGTGTTAGGTTGTATTTTCGTGCCCAAAACAAGGTATTTTTGGGTTTAGGTATCGGTACTAGAAGAACAGTACCGATATTGCTCGTCTGATGGTTAAAATAAAAGAGTTTTGAGCTAGAAGTATAGATATTCATTCATTGAGTATCGATATTGAGGGTTGAGTATCGATACTTACTGGATTGATATCAATATTGAGTGCACATAGCATATTCCAGTAGCCAAAGTTGGTATCGATACTCATGAAAGTATCGATACTAAGGGTAGAGTATCTTTAACACCCCAAATTTCAAGCTAGTAGTTTCGGGTTTACCCGAAAAGTAAGTGGATCCCACAAAAATTATAATTCAAGTCATTAGAATTGATCTCAATTAGCCATAATAGGGTATTTTTGCATAGTAGAAAGATGAAAAGGGACCAACAGTGTAATTAGCCTATTTTTTAAAGATGACTTTATTATATTTCATCTTCATATCCTCTTTCTTTTTTCCCTGTTTTTCTCTCCAATCCCATGGTAAAAGTAAGGTTTTTGAGCCCTTTTTATATTTCAAATTCGTCTTAATTAAACCCCTAGCAGTATTGTTTTAAAGATTCAAGCTTGGGTTTTATTTTTGCAAGAAAAATGGGGTTTTATCATCCAAGCCTATAGGAGAGTGATTACTAGCTAAATGAGCTTTATTTCGAAATTCAATCATCAAGGTAGTGTATTTCTAATCCTTTAGAGTATTAAGTTTCCATAAATTTCAAGAAATTGCTAGGATTTGGATATTTGAACATGTTTAAGGTTTATATTTGATTTCATGATCAAACCACGTTTTAAGTATTAATGTATTTTTAAGACACCTTAAGACCCTAAACAACTTACTGAAACTTCAAAACAATATTATAAATTAAACCAACTCATTTAGGATAGTTTTTAGGTAATTTTTTAGCCTAAAATATCCATTTCAAGGTTTGAGTATCGATACTGGGATGAACAATATCGATATTGGATGAATTGGGGTAAAAATTAGGGATTTCAAGCAGGGAGTATCGATATTGCCATAAATGTAGCAATACTTCCCTTACAATATTGATACTCAGGGTAGCAGTATCAATATTGAGCCCCAGTTTTAGCAACAGAATGCATTTTTTGTACAGATACTCATAGGGCTATCGATACTTTACCCTAAGGTATCGATACTACAGGTAGAGTATCGATACTACCTATTGAATGATCAGATTCGACCTATTTAAGGTCCGTAAGAGCCAGGGGTGGTCCATAAGGATAGAACTTAGTCTGTGAGGGACGTAAATGGCCAAAAAAGCGTAGAGACACTCGTGGGAGTGGGTTACAACCAGAGTAATCATAGCAAGCGTAACGTATCCAAGTACCTTCAATGAACACGTAATAGATATATATGAATGGAGGATCAGTGCACAGGGTGTACCAATGTGAGGTATGGTCAAATAATCAGATTATAAAACAACAATGTGTATACCGCAAGAGCAAACAAGGGCATGAGACGTACGATTATCCCTTTAATTTGAGAACGATTTGAGGGAAAACGTAACATTAGCGAATAGAGTATCGCTACGAAAACATGAACCTGAGTAAGATATTGGGCTATCCAATATCATAGACAAAAATCAGTAAACTCAGTAATCGTCGTAAAGTAATGAAACGCGTAAAGACTATAACCCCCTCAGACCGATAAGGGTAACCCGATCTGATCTGATGTGTCATATTAGGGCCACCGGAGCGACCCACTGTAAATATAGCAGAAATTTTAAAACCTTTTATCAGAACATATAAACTTATAAAATCATTTGCCACTATTTAAAAATAAAACAGATTTTCAGACTCGTATATAAAACAAAATACAATTACATGCCCTCTAATCACCTATACCGTACTCTGCAAACAACGCCGGAAGAAACTCCCTTACTGATGTCGATAGATGCACTAGTACAATTCTTTTAACCTGCAATGTTGAGTAATAGAGTGAGCTTCGGAAAGCTCAGTAATACAGAACTACCAGATGATGCTGAAGAACGTGCAGATACAGATAAACATACATTT